TTTTTTTTTTTTTTAATCCAGTCTGTCACTCTCCATCTCTTTATGGGTGCATGTAGGCCATTTACATTCAGTGTAATTATTGATAGATGTGAGTTCATTGCTGTCATTTAGTAGTGCTTTTTTTTGTGGTGCTGACATTTTCTGTGTTCTTCTTACTCTCCTTTGCTGAATTCCTTTGGTTTGTGGATTTTTTTTCATTTCTTTTGTTTTCGTAGGTTTTGTTTTTAATGAGACTATGTTTTCTTTTTTATTTTGATGAATAGGTTTGTTAACTTTTTTTGTGGTTACCTTGAAATTTACCTTTATCTTCCTAGGCTTGAACCAGTCTATTATTACTTGTTATCTTCTTGCCTTCCTCTCCATTAGAAGGTTCTATCCCTACACCATTTATTCCCTCTTTTATTGTTCTTATGTTGTTGTCATTTACAGATTAACCTCTCTGGTTCCCTGTTGTAATTCTCTTAGTTTTGTGTAGTCCTCAAGAATTCATTTCCTAGTTTGGTATCTGCCTAGTACTATCCTGTGTCCTATATTCAGCCTATGGTCTGATGTTGCTTGTTCTAAGATCAAAGGACCCCCTTTAACAAGTCCTGTAAGTTTTTTTTTTTTTTGGTTTTTACATAGTCCCTTAATTTCTGTTTACCTGGAAATGCCCTAATTTCACCATCATATTTGAACCAGAGTTTTACAGGATATATTATTCTTGACTGGCAATATTTTTCTTTCAAGGTTTTATATATGTCATCCCATTTCCTTCTTCCTTGCATGGTTTCTGCCGAATAGTCCGAGCTTAGTCTTATTGTCTCTCCTCTGTATGTGACTTCTTGTTTTTCTCGAGCTGCTCTCAGGATTCTTCATTTGTCTTTGGTTTTAGCTAGTGTGATTATGATATGCCTTGGTGATTTTCTTTTGGGTCTATCCTATACGGGTTTCGTTGAGCTTCTTGTATGTTCAGCTTTTCATCTTTGTTGATATTGGGGAAGTTTTCTGTCAGCAATTCTTCAATGATCCTCTCTCTGTTTTCTGTTTTCTCTCCCTGTTCTGGAACTCTGATAACTCGCAGACTTTTGCTTTTGATTGTATCCCACATAATTCTCAGTGTCCCTTCATTTTTTTTTTTTTTTCTGATTTTTCCTCAGAGTTGTGTTCAAGTGTTTGTCTTCCATTTCGCTGATCCTATCTTTCATCTTTTCAAACCTGCTCCTCAGCCCTTCTATGACACTGTCCATTTCTGAAATCTTGTTGCTTATCTTTTGGATTTCTAGTTGTTGTGTTTGTGTGATTTCTAGTTGTGAATTTATTTTAACATTTTGTTCCTCTATTATTTTCTTGAATTCTTCCATTTTTCATCCATATTTTCCATGAATTTGTCTGCCTTTTCCATGAATTTGTCTATTTTTTCCTCATTTTTGTCTGCTTTTTGCTTCAG